ACAGCCATAAAATTTCAAAAGTAGGTCACCGTGACCTCCTTTTCAGTTGTTGTACTCCGAGGACCCAAGACGCATCAACTGACAAAGTTTAATGATTCTTAGCCAGTTAGTACCCGAAATATTTTATTAAAGCCATAAATTTTCAAAAGTAGGTCACCGTGACCTATTTTTCAGTTGTTGTACTCCGAGGACCCATGACGCATAAACTGACAAAGTTTTATGATTCTAAGCCAATTAGTACCCGAAATATTTTATTAAAGCCATAAATTTTCCGAAAGTAGGTCACGGTGACCTACTTTTTTAGTCGACCTACTCCGAAGACCCATGACGCATCAACTGACAAAGTTTGATGATTCTAGCCAATAAGTACCCAAAATATTAAATTACAGCCATAAATTTTCAAAAGTAGGTCACAGTGACCTACTTTTCAGTCAACCTACTCCGAGGACCAAAGATGCATCAACTGACAAATTTTGACGATTCTAAGCCAAATAATTTCTGAAAATATTAAATACAGATATAAAATTTCAAAAGTAGGTCACCGTGACCTACTTTTCAGTTGTTGTACTCCGAGGACCCAAGACGCATCAACTGACAAAGTTTAATGATTCTAAGCCAATAAGTACCCGAAATATTTGATTAAAGCCATAAATTTTCAAAAGTAGGACACCGTGACCTACTTTTCAGTTGTTGTACTCCGAGGACCCAAGACACATCAACTGACAAAGTTTTATGATTCTAAGCCAATTAGTTCCGAAATATTTTATTAAAGCCATAAATTTTCCGAAAGTAGGTCACGGTGACCTACTTTTTAGTCGACCTACTCCAAGGACCCATGACACATCAACTGACAAAGTTTGATGATTCTAAGCCAATTAGTACCCGAAATATATAATTAAAGCCATAAATTTTCAAAAGTAGGTCACGGTGACCTACTTTTTAGTCGACCTACTTCGAAGACCCAAGATGCATCAACTGACAAAGTTTGATGATTCTAAGCCAATTAGTACCTGAAATATTTAATTATAGTCATATAAATTGAAAAGTAGGTCACGGAGACCTACTTTTCAGTTGACCTTTTTTGAGGACCCAAGATGCATCAACTTACAAAGTTTTATGATCATAGGACTTAAAATGTCCAAATTATGCCTCTAAAACGCTTTGAAATCGAATGCCTGCAAAGTTCAAAAAGTAGGTCACTGTGACCTACTTTTTAATAAATATGTTTTATGGCCCCAAGATGCATCATCTTACAAGATTTAATGATTCTAAGCCTCCCCGTATTCGAATTAATGACCTTAATTGTTTTAAAAAAGATTAGCCATAAAATTCAAAAAGTAGGTCAAAGTGACCTACTTTTTAGTTGACGTACTTTGAGGACCCAAGATGCATCAACTGACAAAGTTTGATGATCATAGGCCTTAAATTGTTCAAAATATGCCTCTAAATCATTTTGAAAAAGAATGGCCGCAAAATTTAAAAAGTAGGTCACCGTGACCTACTTTTGAGTCAACATGATATGAGGTCCTTAGATGCACCAACTGACAAGATTTGATGATCCTAGTCCTTATAGTAAGCAAAATATCAACATTTTAATAAAATGTAATTTTTGGTCAACTTTGAAGTGACCTTGAGACCACGCCCTTTGCCCCAGGGTAAATCCCCGTGCAAATTTTAATCTACAACATATCCTCATCCTTTTGTGTAAGTTTGGTGATAATCTGCCCAGTGGTTCTTGAGAAGAAGATTTTTTAGCAACCAGTACTTTTTTTTCTATTTTCCTAATTATCTCCCCTTGTTAAAGGGTCACAACCCCAGTTTTAGTATAAATGGGAACCCTTGGGCCAAGGATACCCTGTGACAAATTTGACAATAATTGGCCAAGGGGTTCTTGAGTTATGGCCCATATTCTAAAAAGTTTACGCACACCGCACAAATGGCCATAGCATTAGCTCTTTGAGCCTTTGGCTCAGAAGAGCTAAAAATATGAAATCACAGAGACTGACCAGCAGACAGTTATCAGAATAGCTTAATTAAGCTCTATGCTCAAGAGTGAACCGTCCCATTATGAATTCCTTTGTTATAAGAAAAGGAATTAATTAATAGCAAAGGTTGAATTATGGTGGGTGAAAAAAAAGGATATTAATATGAAAGAATATTAACATTACATTAACCATTGGAAGGTTTTCATACAATTTGCTACCAAATTACTATCTCCTGAGAATTTTTATCTGGAAAAAAACTTTAACAAAGTTTTGTTTCATATTTTTTTCAATTTAATTATTCATAGCAAATAGCAAGCTGGGCATAATTAAAAGAAAATTCAGCCAATTGTTTATCAATCGTGATGAGAACTGCCATAAAGTGGCACATCTCTATATACTTACGCCAAATAAGTCTGAATCAATAAGTAAATGATTAAATAGGGCTTCTGGGAGGTTTGGCTTGATGCAGTTCCTTACTATACAGACACGGAACCTGGTATATATCAGAGAGAGGGGGGTCCGGTGGGAATCGTTACAAATGGCTGTGTCTTGGGACTTCACTTTGATGTATGTAGGTATCAAGCTAAGGAAACTTACAGACTGATTCTAAATTGACAATGTGTCGGCATTAAATTGAAGTTGATGGTCTTTGACTTAAACATGTGGGCAGTGCTTTCATGTCTTATTAAAGTAAAATACAAAATATAATTCATATACAAAGAGAATGACTGCTCCTATATTTAAGGTCTTTCTTCCTAGTAAAGGGAGATAAATTCAGATTGCTAAAATTTCCATAATCAACTTTGAATGATTCTCATATGCAGCAATCAATTCTTAAGGAGAAATAATTTAAGAGTTCCAATAATTAAAGGACTTTTGTGGGATTTTATGATGTGTAATAAAAATTTTGAGGATTTTATCAGCTAACACTACATTTTTGTTAATTTTTCTTTTAAAAAAAAGACAATGATTTCATCACTTTTTATCTGTTCAAAACTCTTGGTAATGTACATGCTGATTTTTTTTCCTAATATCATTTGATGCTACAATAATTTTAAATCAAGACTACCCTGGAAAATTTTAAGTGAGAAAAGTACATTATAAAGTACTGTAGATTCCTTCTTTTTCGCGAGTACTTATTATTGCAAAATGGCTCTTGAGCGTCAAATCACGAGAACAATAATTCACCAGTAGACGGTTCATCAAGGGTTTTTTTAACATTGAATTCAGCACCATAAAAATAAAAGTGAGTAATTTTATTTTGCAAGTGGTGCTTCTCACGAAATTTCGTGATAATTAATTCCTCGCATATATTTAGGAATCCACAGTACATGTGCGTTGTGTATGATCATAAAGTATTTTTTTACTCCAAACTTTAATAAAAAAAATGTATAAGGTACCCAATATTTACAACGTCCAAAAACCATTCCTGTTCTTATATTCTCTATCCAGACTCCAGAGTTGTCATTCCCGCTGTGCTCCCACATACACCTCTGTCAACGCTTGTTATACAAGATTCTTGAATAAATTGTATATGGTGAAAATTATATCAAAAATTGTTTTTGATCTTTTTATTTATTGGTAAAAAGGACTTATTCTTAATCTAGCATCCCTTTAAAGATTTTTTTTATCCAAGTTTTTAATTTTTACTCCGCAAAATAGTTCCTCAATAAATAGGGAAAAAAATCATTTTAAAGGATGATAGTTTTGAAATAAATGATGAAATAAAATTTTTATTGATAATTACATTAATTCATTACAAATTTAACTATAAAATTCACCATTTAAAATTTGTACAAGAATCTAGTACAACGAGCATTGACAGAGGTGTTGGGAGCGCAGCAGAAGACAACTCTGGATAGAGAATGCTGTTTCAAGTGTAATTGCATTTTTAAGATCCAAACCTCTCAGTACTCTTAGTACTTCATAGTGAATGGTATCTTTAATAGACATTTTTCAGTAAAATAAAAATATCCCCTAATTTATTTAACAAGATAATCTAGCAAGCACTGAACAATTACTTCCCTTCAGTTTTATATCACACACACTTTAAATTAAATAAATATGAATTTCAATAAAGAAAGTGGCATGCCAATACCTTAATTAAATCCCAAATACCAATCTACAATTTGCATTATTCAACACTGAAACAGGGACATGGTGAAAAATCTGAAAGAATCGACAAAAAAGGTATAAACATGACAGCTACCTTTGTTTAATTAATCACTACCTTACCTCATCAGTGGTGATCTGTAAAACATCCAACACTGTCATCAATACACTGCCTAATGGTAAGCTGGAAGTATCTCCTGTATAATCAAACAAGTTAAGTATATGAACATTCAATACAGGAACTTCATTTACAGAGTCAAACAAATGACTTTGTGTATCGGCTTCATTATAAACATGAAACAGGTGACAGGTCCCTTTAATTTTCCGCTGTTGACTAACTGGCGTTTCGTATTGATACAGACCAATCTCCCACTGTACCTGAAGTGGCTAATCAATTTTTTTTTTGCTAGTGAAAATAGACTTTTCTCTCGATAGGTCTCTGTGTATTTTCCTGTTATATATTTTGTTCAGCAGTGTGTGGATACAATTATCAGAACAATTTAATTAGCTCCCATCGAAGACTCCATACATCTTGTAAATTGTATTGGTAAACCATTACCGATATTGAGAGCCAATGTAGTACATCAAGTGCTGAACAAAAAAAAAAGTTCTCATGTAGAGAAATGCAAATTAATTTTCTCTCTATTTGGTCTCCTTTTCTGTAACCTTGACCTAGTAAATAGGGAACATAATTAAACCACCACAAAAACTCAATTTTAATGAAATCGTCCTGTGGGAGATTAATGTCATGAAAAGGCCAGTAATTTTCTATCTTTATCACAAAAAAAGATTTTCGTAATTTGCGTAGATATCATGATTGACATCAAAAGTACAAACATTACTGAACAAAAGAACCATAATATAGAAGCTTTGGGTGCTTTATGAATTGTGAACTGACTTGTAATAGAATACTTCTCTCTTGATTGCACTTTCTCATGAACTTTTGGAGTGTTCTTCTACCTATCACTAATGATCCTTGTCACTTATGGTGGCATCTCAGCACTATCTAATGATTCCTACTACAGAAATGATTTCATTAAGATATAAATATCTGAAATTTCCATAACATGGCTTAGGTGCAAAATTACATATAACTTACACAGTTCACAAAATAATTTGATGCACTACATAGCAAAGAGAATTAGAACACTCCTTACAACTTATATTGATCTTGGTAATATTTCAAAGCAAGACAAGTTTGATTTGACTTCTACAATGTTCTTTGATTTTGATATTCTAAAATAGATCTCTTTTTCTCTATATAAACTAAAAATATTTCCATCAAAGTTTTTATTCATGCATCATATATCTTTTGGGCAAGCATTTCGAAATGTTCAAGCACAAAACTTCTGCAGATGAATTTGGCTAGGGGTCATGGCAGGTCATCACTTATATGTATAAGCAAAAACTTCCAGAATTTTTTGCAACAAATCATGATCACTAATATAAGAATTCTGTATCTCCTAAGTCTAGCTGTGTATGATCATGTGATTCAGGATCAAAAGATGCTATTGACCATACTTTTTGCTATAAGCTTCCTGAATTCCTTTAGTTACAAAAAACTTTTTTCTGAGTGCGCTGAATGCAATATTTTAGAGGAAAATGTCACATACAATTGTAAAATTTTAAATATGTTATCTCAATTAATTCTTAAATTGGTGCATTATTTTGACACTTTATATATATATATTATATATATATATATATATATATATATATATATATATATATATATATATATATATTCTTAATTACCGGTATCCTTAATTTTAATTTTAATTACCCCACTTCCATGCTTCTGCTGACCAGCTATATTTATTTATGTAATTAATTGCTTTGACTCCTGATCTTAAGGATCCAAAATATGAGGAGTGGATCCAGAGTATAAATAAACTGCAATAAAAGCTATATTAAGTATGACTTGGATTTCTACACTTGGATTATAAAGTTTGCTCATATTATGAACTTCATTCTCATTTCAAGATATGAGAGAGGATTTATGCTACCAAAATATGGACACTTATAATTACTGAGGACAAAAATATGACTGCTTGCTCAGCCCTACACAATATATTACCAGATATCTATAAACATGATAAATATAACAACAGAAATATTGTTAATAGAATCATTCAGCTTAAATCTAAATAAACTAATTGATTGAGCTATACTAGTTTTACTGTGACATCAACATGAATTAAGCTATATTAGGTTCAAACCATTCCTAATACAGCACTAGTCCCTTCAGTGACTCAGGTGACCGAAAAATTGCAAGAAAAAATTTATTATCACTTCGATATTGGTTATCCTCAATGATCAGCTTTGATGAACACAAATATAGTTCAAAAATCAAACTGCAGATCATAATTAATAAATGAGAAATTAGTTACCATGGAAACAAATCTCATCAGTGGGTGATTATGGGTATTTTTGACTGCAGAGCTTATTCACTTAGCCTTCTTGAAAGATCTTCAATGATTGCTCATCACAGAGACTTCACAGATCATTAAACACCGAAATCTCCAGTCAAATTGACACCAAATCAATTTGAAATTCGCATTATAGTACTTGAAAAGCTTGGTTATGTAATCAACAGCCAATCAATGAGGAGAAATTACTTAAAACTTATGTCGTAATGGGATCAGCCTCGCAGGTCATGCAAATACCCAATTTAGGTTTATTTTCATCCATGTAGCTAATTGTGAAGTACAAAGACTAAAACCAGACATAAATCTCCTGGAAAATTAATGTCATTCAGCGGTATAAAGAGAATGACAATTTTAAAAGAAATCTGAAATTGGTCTATTTTTTTAAAAGAATAATTCATGGGCATATATGAGAATGAGTTGAAATTTCTTCAGTAAATGGAAAATAGTTACCAGGTAATTCTTACAAAAAACTTTTCATTTTTTACCAAAAATTGTCTTAGTAATAATGAGCAATCATTTTTGCACTTACTTTTTTCTGCTAGCAACCAATTGAATTATTCAAGAGTGATGATTATAAACTTTGCACATACACAACATAATAATTAAGGTATATTGAGAAAGCAGAGATCAAACTACAGGTAGACACAGTTCAATTAAAAATCAGTGTAGAAAAAAGTGACAGATGGACATAATAACAAAGAGATTTCCAAGGCTCCAACTGATCCAATGTCATACTGGGACAATTCCTTATAATCCCCAAGTTGCTACCTAACTGGACCATATGGGGTCAATTTCTGTGGAATTGGTCAACATTGGTGTAGATAAAAACTAGGTATTGTAGCACCAGAGTAAACACAATAATATAACATCAAAACAGATCAAATTAATGAAAGAAACTTTTTGTCAATAATAAAACATGCCAAAATAATTTCATCAACAGAGCAATTCACTGGCAGAAAAACAATAATTCTGCTACAATAGAAACATCAAGTTATTGGTTATACCTTCAAAATGCAAATAACAAATAGAAAAGACATAAAGCACACAGCAAAACTCACCAATTCAATCAACTTTATGCAAAGGAATGTCATTTCTGTTGAGGAATATTCAGCGAATTTGAGGATCAGCACATTTTACTTCCTGCAACAAAAAGAACAAAATCTAATAATGAAATTGCAGATAATAGAAGATTCTGCCAAAACCTACAGCTTTTATCACAATTTGATTCAAACTATTTTCCACTTTATTAAAATCACCCAAATGTATTTACAACCTTTAAAATGCATACTCATTTAACAATGTGAAAAACTTGCTCAATCATTAGAAATTTCAGTTTTCAAATGGTTATACATGTATTAAGTACTATTTCATATTAGTTTGCAACATTTCACATTTCTCATTTCTACTTTTCCCTCTTCAATACAAGAGCTCATAGACCACCACACTAATCTAAGGTGGTTGCCCATCTATGGTACCTGATTACTACACCTTACTTACTCACCATACATGTTAATCAAATCCTGACCGGGCCACTCAAATAAGAGGTAAAACAAGAGGTCAATGGGCCTTGAAGGTCGCCTGAGTATCAAGATCACTCAAGCGAAAACTAAGTCCTGCCTAGGACTAGAACTCAGACTGGACCAAAGTTGACATGAATTTTATGAATTGTTGGATGCTTTGAAGTAAAGAACTCAAGTATATTTTTAAAGATATTAAATGCATTTTTAATCTAATGTAAACTTAGTCTCTCTCTCTTTCCCTTGGGCCTAAACTGTGGGGACAAAAATTTCATAATTTGGAAAAAGGCTCATAGCTCAATGTCATATCAAGCATGCAGTTTGTTTGCTAAATGACGGAGAAAAGAAAATATTCAAAGATGTCTTGAATGTTCAATGTATAACCCACCACTCCCCACCCTGGAACCTAAATCCTGGAGTGAGCTTACAGCTGATGATCTGCATTGAAGTCCTGGCATCCTGTCCATGCCTGACTTGAATCAGAAACACCCTCTGCCTGATCACAACATCTTCAAATTGTTGCCAACCTTCATTGGATATTTCGACCCTAGACCATGACATCCTCCATTTGGTAGGTCAGCAGTGGTAACCAAACCACTACTTGTTGATTCCAAAAATCCAGTTGGGCCCTCTTATCTGTGCCACATCCAGCTCAACGACTTCTCAGCTGCCTCTGCCAGTCGTCATACAGCAGCCTCTGCAGTGAGGACACCATTCCTAAAGTCTGGAACAGCTTCAACACTGACTGAGCTGGGAAACCCCTGCACCTGACCTCAACAGGAAACAGCATCACCTTCCAACCCTTCTCCCTGCAGTCTACCATCAGGTCTGCATACTTCAGGATTTTCTGTTGGTGCACCTCATCACACTGTTCCTCCAGTTTTAATTTATAATGTATTGATGTGATGTCAATTTTACAAATTGTAGCTGTGATCTCCCAGAAGTTTACATATTTCTGAAAAGAGCTTTAACACCCAGACCTTGCCACCACCTCCCACCACCACCACCACTCTGAATGAGGAGTTTTTATTAAAAATAAGCTCACCTGATTTTCAGTATTTCTCAGTTATATCCTTTTAAATTAGGGCTTACTCTTTTTAATCTCTTGTCACTTACTGATTTGATTTCTTTCCACTGATTAATTTTGTTAGGCCTTCTTGTTATTATGAAGATGGAACATACATACACATATTCTGTCAAGTCATAACAGAATGTGACATCCTATGAATATTTGATCAAAACTTAATTCTCTTCTGTCTCATATTCTACCCATTATTATCAATACCTGTAAAACTTATGTCTAACCCTTTCTAATAATTATAATTATCTACACTTGGTACATAATCTTACACCGTTTGACCTTATGAATTAATTATGAAAAAGAAGTTAGAGGGATTTCCCTCACTAGTAACATTCAAGCATCAAAATGACATAGACATTGCCAAAGTATGTGGACAGCATAAATATAAGTACAGCATTGTTCTATCTTAAAAGCAAAGACAAATTAGGGGAAAAAAGGAAATTAAATATATAATAATCACTTACTTTAAAGGGCAAACTCCACTAATAAAGAAACCACAAAGAAAATTCAGTTAACCACAGATTTTGATCCTCTCCCAAACTCTACTGAGGTAAAATTGTGTTTATATATTCAAAACCTTTGAATTCTGACAATGAAAAATAATGCAATAAGGTATGTCTCCTTCACTTACATTCTCAGAGTAATTAAGCGTAATTAAGCATTCCTTGCTAATGACCAAAGCATGCATTAAAGTACTCTAGTACCCTTCTATGACAAGTATTAAACAGAATGGAGCCTGAGGAATTGAAGACTTCAGTCAACAACACTTAGTATCTTTACCTTTTGTCTGCCTTTATTAGTACTTTTTCCATTCATCTAGTGAGTCTCTTTGCATGTTAGACCATCATTAGTCTGCCAGAACCCCAGGACCTACAAATACACCATTAGTAATTCATAAAGATGTCCAATTCATCACGTAGCTATCTACAGCAGTTTACCTTCTTCTTTTGGAGATATTACAGAATTGTCAATAACTGATATTTAGTTCAAGAAACAAGCAGTAATAAGACAGGATTCTCCTCTTTTTAGCTAAAGTGATCAAAACTAAGCCCTTATGTATCCCATACCCAGGTGACCTCCTAACATTCCCCATGCAAGTAAAGTAATTCAAACATTATGTAATATTAAATAAATAATGCATGCAGTTGAGGGTAAATTTTCATTCCAAGAAAATATTGTCAACTGAGGCAGAGCCAATGTTGACAATGGTTTTCGAGGGATAAAAATTTTCAATGTTACCCTCGACTACGTGCATTAAAATATACAAAGAGAGTTAAGGCATGTGCGCTTTGTGCATAGATTCCCTGCAGTCACTATTTTTTTTGAATATATCACCCATCATCAAGCAATGTTGATTGTTGCTAATTTCTATCAAGCTGGAGGGTGTGGTTTCATCATCCAAAGGGTAACAGAGGTTTTTAACAAATGTTTCTCAATGAATCAAATTCAATTACATGTACCGGTATTTAATATGAAAATATAATAAATTGATTTTTTGAGCTCAAATTGAATATTATACCACAACAAAATGTATTAAAGACAGCTTTAACAAAATTTCAAGCATATCATATTGAATATGAAATGACAAAATATATCTTATTTACCAGGTAAAATGCACATTTATCACATATTCACAATTCTAAAGGCATTCACAAAATAAAAATATAAACTTAACTCACCGTTTATGTATCTATTACATTTTACTATGTGCAGCAAGTATATAGACTATTAATAAAGTGCCACTGGCTATGTATATAACCGAAATGTCCTTGATATCTTACAGTGTTTACAGTATTTAGTATACTGGCTGGTATATATACCATATATCGTCATTCTACATGTTTGCTACACATGGAAGTTTTTCTTTTTCTTGTCTAAATCATTTTTGATGGAAGTAACACATATCCTCCAACTATGGAAGGAAAAATAAAAATTAACAAGATATTTATGTTTGCAAAGTCATAAATACTATCATCTTCTCTCAACATAAACCATATTTTCTCCCTGAAGAATAAAGAATCTATTCAGAGTATCCATAAACCTTTCTGTACAGCCACACATGAAACATAAATTCTTTCCTATGGAGATCTTTTATTAGAAATTGATTTGATTCCTCGATGACTATTTCAGTCCCATTATTGGAGTATTCCAAACTGTGACTTTTTGATCTTAGCCGTAAAATACGAATTCAATATATCAACATCTGTTATAAAAACTAACAAGTACCGGGTTAATGCTATAAACGAGAATAAATGAAACTCTGAAATTCTAATAATTAGTTGGAAAAGCAGCCAAAATCAAATCATGATCCAAACAGTGCATAAATCTTACAAGTAACTAGACGTACTGTGAGCAATAAGCTCACAAAATGATACCCCCCCCCCCCCATCCCAAATGATTATAATCGCGAAGTCCATGTTTTGCTATGGGAGCCCCAAAAAAAGTGTCAGATCAAAAAGTAAAATAGGTGATGTACAATGGCACTATGTAATAAAGATTCGGTGAAAGTATCATTAGATTTTATTCATTGGTATGGAAGGAGTTGCAGCTAAGAGATGGGTTACCCCAAAAAGTGACTGACAGACGTACAGTTCAGGTTGTCTACATTAACTAATTACTAGAATTATCCATTGTCTGATGAAGTGTAGACCCACTGACCAACCTTCATACATAGAATGAGTAGTGTTCCAACTGAATTTTGCCTCCAGGCATCCAAGTCTGTTGTTATCAGCCTTAACCATCAGGAACCTCTTCAATTAGTCTGACTAGTGAGGTGGAGCTAGAGAAAGAAAATGAAAATCAGACAAAAAAGAATTCCGAGTGCTTGCTTCAGCATACAGTTTTACAGAGAGACTCTTCTTATTGGAAATCGATTCATTGATTTATAATTCGAGTTTTCATCATGTAAAATTTGCGATTAAAGAGTCATACCAGTGAAAATAAAATTAGTTTTAAATTATTATACCACCCGCTTGAAAAGCTGGGAGTGTATAGTGATCCATGGGGGTGTCCATCCATCCATCTGTCTGTTCTATTAATTCTGATGAATGACACTCATGCATATATGGGCCTGTGATTTCTTTAAAAATTCTGACTCTACAACTTAAAGTTCCTCTTTATGATTGTCTCAACACTATACTGTTTCTATGATTTTTCATTATCAGGATATAATCATATTAATACTACCCATAAATTGTTATCTGAAACATTGAAAATTATATTGAGTAAATGTGAGCAAAGCAGCCAATCAAAATGAGGAATGAAGTCATTAAAGGGCAGCTTTATAAAAGGCAGGTGTTAAAACTGTGTCTTTCCTGTGCCACCATCATTAAAAATGACAACTTCAAGATAACTCAACTGGGTAATCACTTTTCGTACTTAGACTGAATTATGCAAACACTTCTGATCCTCTTGACCTTTTTCCTGCTCTTCCCAGCAAATTTTATTTATAAAATGATAATTTCATCATTACACCATATTCTTACTAAATTTGTTGTTATTCTTTTTCCTCTCTATTTTAGAATAATAATGCCAGTGAATACAGATCACATATTTAACTCTCCAGTTTTCTCTTATGCATCATTCCTTATTGAAAATATTTTTTTATAGGTGATGTATGAGCAGACAAGTACAAATTAACAGCTAAATAAATATAAAATTTATTCAAATTACATGTACTTATAGTATATAATAATGCTTTGACTGGGTCATCTAACAGTTGCTGAATATTGGGATTGAAAACTGTATATATTTGATATATTATTTTTTAATAGCTGGTTTGGGATATCATATATCCCAAATCTGCTATAAAATTACAGTGCAGACTGCAAAAAAAGGGGGGATTTAATTAAATAAAAATATCTAATTAAAAATTTTTTCAGTTACATTACATGTACAGAGATGTGCAATTAGGATCTATTATAACCGACTCCTGGGGCTACCGTTTTTTAGGTTCGGGCTACTGGTTTCTGCACAGAGGTAGCTCTTGCAATATGGCTTAATGTATAAAATCAAAATTCATAAAAAGAACATATAATCTCCATTCCTCTGTTTATGGCAGGGAGATATATGTTCTGTTTACTGTAATACATGATAAATAGGAAGATAATTTCTTTGAATTCAATTTACAGCAAAACTTCTCTTATCTGGACACCATGCTCTGGTATCATGGAAACTGGCTGTATTAGACAACATTCCGGATCAGACAAAATTTTAAACAATTGAATTTATATACTGAAAGGGACAAAGTTTACATTGTATTATGCAAGATTTCAGAATACACAACATCCAGATTAGACAAGTTTCACTGTATTTTCATATGATTATTGATTCAATTAATACATGAGTTTTGATTGTAACTCTCCAAAGATAGTTGCGCAAAAAGTATCCATATAGAAGTGGGACAGGTTGCTGATGTACACAAACGTGCATAAATAAAAGAACGAGGGCTATTGCTTTTAAAATTCATTTATAATGTTATACTGTAGAAAGATGAAATTGTAAAGCACTGATGATTTTGTTGATTTTATTGAGCTCTACTACATGTGTTTAACAAAATCTAATTTTAATTAGGATACTTGAGAGCAAAAGAACCATCATAGTCTTTGTGAAATAGACCCTTCCTTGATTGGTACAAACCTTTTCTAAGAAGTTAGTGGGCTCTTTGAAATTATAAGAAGGGAAAGAGTCTGTGTGTCATTCAGAATGCCAGCGTGCAATGATCACATGCGTGTGTATATTACATGTATTAGTCATATAAGAGATCCCTATCTCTTCCCTCGTCTGATAATTAAGTCTTATCCACTGATATTTTCTTTTGTTCCGTTTTTTCATGGGAGAAGAAAAATTGACACCTTAAGCTCTTTACATAAATTCTGTAATTTTCGAGTTGAAGAGTCAGTTATGATAGCCCGCCACTTCCATGATGTACTGTATCCAATATAAATAACTGTTCCACCTGCCTGTTTACGCAGAAACAAAACTCCCCAGTTATGAAAGAGCCCTCTAAAAGAGATAATCTCGAAATTTGCGTATTTCACTCGTCAAAATCAAAATTTTTAATTTAAACAAAAAAATGATCTTATAAAGTCCCCACCTTTTTAAATAATAAACTGATAATTTCTTTTCTTTACCTATATGCTTCACTTTTTTTTTTAATTGATAAGAATAATGGCCTCTTCTGATTTCAATAAGGTAATAATAAACCTTGATGAAATTGAAAGCCAGGAATCTACAAGTCAAGTAAACATGTCAAACATTGTATTTTTTAAATTAACTTTTTGGGCTTAACTTTTCTACTTGGGGCTAATGATTTTATTACTGCCTCTAGCCCCTGGGGCTATTACTTAAATTTTTAAAATTGCACACCCCTAAACAAATATTGTAAATATGCACTAAACAGGAAAAATACACAAAGAGCAACAGATTCCAGCAAGCAAGTTTGTGAGACTGGTCCCCGAAGAAGTTTAAGAACTTCTTGGGGAGACGTGTCCTAAACTGTAGGTATACAGAAAAAACTTTTTAACCAGAAGTTGTTTCTCTTTATGTATTTTAATGCGAATTTACCATACTACAGTTCATTTTTTGCGCTGCAATTTAATATCCCATCTGCTGTTTGGGAAGTGACATCTCATTTAGATTTAATCGACTACTCTCTCTGGTTGTGGCAACATGTGTATCACTGTATGGCTCAGTTAACAGGTTAAGCATCCAACCATTTCTTTGCAATTAATGTTTAGATTTTAGAAGATAACAAACATCGTAAAACAATTTAAATCATAACTCCATAGAAATAAAACAAGTTTCTAAATCATACCATATCAAAACTTAACCGCGACACGTCAGGAACAGAAGTAAACTGTGAACAGTAAAGGGTGATGACTGTGTTTTCCCGCCATCTTGTAAAAGTATACATGACGAAAAAAAGAGTTA